CAATAACTGATATATTATCGTAGTGTATATCAGCGGGATGAGTTATAGCAATGCCGAAGTCGTTCAGTAACCGACATGTAGCCATACAATCTCAGTAGTTGTTTCCCAAGCACTTTGTATTCAGTTCCAGTGGAGGAGTGAGCGATAGTTGGTTGTTTTTTGACACTCTAAGAGAGTAATGTGGATCTAAGTACAATACCATGTGGTGGATCGGCGAGTGGTGATGTCACTATCCCAGTCATAGTTTGAGAAAGAGGTGAGATTAAGAGGGCTAGGTAAGATGGGAAGCTACGCCATCATTTAGTTTACCTTTTATGTAGCGTAGGAGGAATTTGAGAAGCTGAAAACGGGGCCGTGATTTATTGTGGATGTGTTAGCATAGTCAATTGGTGACGTTAGGAGATATCTGGTTGGGTAATTGTTAAGAATTGAAGTGAACTAGTAAGTCGTTTGTATGTTGATGGAGTAATGGAAATGTTAGTTGTGCTGTTGTGAGTGGGTTATTTGGAGGGATTTAAATTAGATTGAGGTTTGCATGAAGACATGCCTCATGCCTGCTTTGTTTAGTAGATCTTTGGCATAAGATTTTTGGTGGAGAAAATATAAATTAGGTAGAGTTTGTATGTGAATATCTAGGAAAGTGTTGAAATGACCTCATGTTGAATTTATGATGGAGATTTCGATAGGGTTTGAGATGGTGTAGGAATTATTTTCAGTAACTAGAATATCATCCACATATGGAAAATTTGTATGATATCTCATTTACTTGCGTATATATAAGCAAAGTTTTAAAGCTATATTAGCCTTTTTATGTTTTTATATTTTATGTATGTTTTTGAGTCTTGCTTCTACTCCAACTTATAAATACATGGTCATAGGTCAAATTTAAGCACACACAATAACTTACTCATTTGGACATCTGTGTTGTTTAGCAATAAAATCATAAGGATTCTCTAACGAACTTCTGCTCGGGCACCAACTGACTCCGTATTTACGCCTGGTCACTAGCCTTCGTTGGACTTCCATATGATTTATGTGCGTTGCTAGATTTCAACCCCATAGTTGAATATTGTGATATGAATGTCCTCAAATTTGAGGAACATTCAATCATTTGTAATCTCAAACACTAGTGAATTCATTTCAACTGGGCGTGGGCCCCGTAATTTTTCCCTTTAGGATTTTCCACATAAAATTTATGATGTTTTTATTCTCTCTATTAGTGAACTAAATGCTCGTGCAATGCTAAGACGTGATATTTTTCATACTTTATCATCACGAATATTCTAGCCCACAACAATCCTCATTTATTCTATGATTAAATTTATTATCTTTTAAATATAAAATTTTAATATTGATATATAATCATGCATATGAATTTCAAGACATATATGATGATAATAGGCAAATTATAAAATTCGTATATAATTTAAATCCCTTGTGTCTAAAGTTTAAAAAGGTTGGTATCCATGATGAGGCGCCAACGTGTACGATACATGATGTATGCAATCGTCCGTTTCTTAGTGTTTCCACGTATGACATCATACCATTATATATATTCTAATATTCATATTTCCAAGTGTGACACATCATATTTGTTATGTTGACTGTTTATGGCATACACCATACAGCTCCCTAACTAGCTGTGCTACACGGTATGCAATTGTCCATTCCGCGTATTTTTATATTTTATATTTTATTTAGCTCGACCTCATTTAAATAGATAAAAACTATATTTTAATCCGTTATTATCACGGCCAAATTTTCAGAAGCCGCAGCGTCGAAAGTTTTTTTTATGGAAACAGCGTGAAGGAGAAAAAATTTAAGAAAGAGCTAAGACGTCAAATCATTTGGCGTACTCCAGAATCTACGATTCTGTTCAGCGCATTCATAGAATGCGCCGAACGGCTCAACGCATTTTAGAATGCGTCGAATTGCTCAGCGCATTCTATGAATCGTTCTCACTGTTCCGGATTTTGTGCAATTGGCTGTTGTAAAAATCTCTAATGTTGGGCAAGGTTTGGAAACATTTTAATTGTGTTTTATTATTACTAAGAAATTAATTAATTATATTCACTTTAATATAAAAACTTGCTCTACATATATTAACTTTATACAAATAATTATGGGTTCATAGCACTTATGTCATTATAATTCGATTTTTTTTTTATTTCCAAAATATAATAATGATAAACTAATATATTGTATTATAAAAAAATTAAAAATATCTTTCCCAACAATTAGCTGCTGCCATTTGAAAACCAAAAAATTAACATTGTGAAATCATATCGAATAATGCGCTACAATCATTACAGGAATGCACGGAATTTCAAGTCACAACAGCCAATTGCGCAAAATCCAAAACAGTGAGAACGATTCATAGAATGCGCTGAGCAATTCGACGCATTCTAAAATGCGCTGAGCCGTTCGGCTCATTCTATGAATGCGCTGAACAGAATCGCAGATTCTGGAGTACGCCAAATGGTTTGGCGCCTTAGCTCTTTCTTAAATTTTTCCTCCTTCACGCTGTTTCCCATAAAAAAAATTTCGAAGCTGCTGCTTCTGAAAATTTGGCCTATTATCACTAAGAGACTGTTAGAGAGCTCATTTTGATGTATTAATTAGGAGTTTTGATTATAAATTAAAAGGTCTTCAATTTGAATTGAATTCTATTTATGTAATATGTGTATGAATTCTAAATATTCAAACAGAAAAAAAAGAATTTAGAGGTTGTCTGATGAAGTTTGATGTAAATAGAATATAATAATTTTAAAATATTTAGAGTTATTGGATTAGATTTGAATAAGTACAAACTATTATTTTTTTATTTTATTTGAAATAAAATTACTATGTTGTAAAATTCAATGATAGTATCGTTCAATATCAATAGTAGACAAGTATTTGAAGCTACAATGACATGATGAATTTAAATTAGGCTAATTAAATATAGACAAATTACAAATGCATAAAAAATAAATTAATTGGTGAAAAAATTTGACTTAAATTTTGCTTAATATTTCTTTTTTATCAAATCTAACATCAAAATTTTTAAAACCCTTATATTTAGAATACTTTGCATTCCTTTTTTAGCAAATAAAATAGACCATAAATGTAGATAAATATGAACCTATATATTTAGACAGATAGAAAGAATAATAACAAAAATACAATAAATCAATATGCTCAATAATATGATTGTTTGACAATAAAAATAATAAAACTTTCTATTATAAATAATTATCACATACATAATGCTTCAATTTATTTAGTATTCTCTTAAGTTTTGTGTATCAAAATCATCAATGTAATATATAATATTAAAGGATTTACGTACACCAAATTTTTGGACAATGAGCTCCCCTTTTAACCCATCCTAATTTCAATAATGAACGAGTGAGATATATTCTAATAACATGAAATATAATAAAAAATAAATCATTAAAATTAAGTTCCATTAAAAATATTTTATGTTCAATATTAAAATGTTTCAAATATGAATAATTGAAATAAAAAAAATATGAAGATAGTTATAGAGGAATAAATATTATTGAATTGCGTCAACATAATTTTTAAGAATAACTAACCAAAATATTAATTAATGAAAATAAAATAAAAAAATAATAAATAATAATTATTAAAATCTCAATAAATTTCTAAATAAGGAACTACAGCTTAATCCAAGTACTAAATTAATTAAATAATTAAAACAGAAAAAAATATTTTTAATCCACTGACAATCCACCAAATAATTTCATATGATATGTTAAAAGAAAAAAAAAAAAACAAATGAATTTGATAAAAATGAGCTTTTCTGGATTTAAATATCTTGTTTTAATAAAAAAAAATATATTTTTTATATATAAACCACTCATCAAGGGCGAAGTAGCGGTATTCTCGTGATAAACATGCGAGTCAAAAGACTAAAAAGTCATGTTTTACCTGACACGTGTAGGTTTAGAAAAAAAGACTTTTTTGTTTGGAAGACAACGCCATTTAATTGCCGGTTAATGAAACAAATATTAAAAAAATATGAAGTTTATGTTTATATATTTTAAATATGCGATTAAAATTCTTCATCGAGCAAATTTTTTATTACTTTCTATTTTTTTAAAGAAAATAATGATATCTTATTATTTGCATACAATCAAATGAATTATAAGAGTGATCTTTACTCTTAAAAAATTATATAATATACCTTAGATATACTGGATTTTAAATCAGACAAAAAAGAGTTCTATTTACAAAAATGCTTTTGTTCCTTGAATTTCTTATTCCCTCATATCCTCAAATATCTTGTTGCATTAATTTTTAACAATTTTAAATGATTTGTTATCATATATTTTTTTGCTCAATATGAGGGTTTTTATACAACTCATTTTAATTTGTTGGTTGAGAACTGTCTATTAATTAAAAAATTTTAAATTTGAAGTTTATGTGTATGAGTTTATCTTAGGCTTCATTTTGGACTGCTTTCTTGCTGTTTCTTAAAATAATTTTTAATAAAAAAATTAAAAATTTTGTACTAACAAAAAAATTTATTTTAAGAAGCAGTAAGAAAATCGTCCCAAATGAAGTCTTAATTGGCTCAAACGTTCCCAACTAAAAAAAATTCTAAGAATTATTTTGTATCTTCTCACATAATAAGAGTATTTGTATACTATTTTTTTTATAAAATTGATCTAATGACTAATATTATAACTCATTATAATTTTATATTTTATTAATAAAATAGGATGGAATTAGAGCATAATTTCCCCTTAAAGGAAAAAAAATGCTCCATTTCAAAGGAATATATATATATATATATAGCTTTCAAAAATATTCAGAACAAGCATGGCAACCGGCACGTGTCAACTTCGATGAACAGCTGTGCAGAGACTATTGTGCTGTGTTGACGTTAGGATGAGAAGGTTGTTGCTTCCTGATGAAGCCTTTTTTTAATAAAAAATATGAATTTAATGATCAAGCTGAATAGCGTGCGGCCGTCGCTTATTTAAACTCTCTAAAGTGCTCTTCTTCTCCCATAGAGAGCTCTACCACAAACTTCTAGCTTCGGTGAGGTCGAGAGTTCAATTTTTTTTTTAGAATTTAGAGATAATCGAGCAGGTTCATAAAAATTTCTACGGTCCCTTCTTTTTTCTTTTTTATTACTTCTGCTACCTTAAACCCCCTCTCTGTAATTTTTTGTCTTCTCCGAGAAAGATTGGACTTTTAGTTCCAATTTCATAGGAAATTTTGAGCTTTTTCTTGGTAGATTGAAATTACAGAAAGTATATCCGGATCCCTTCTTTTTCGGGGTTTTGATCTTAATTTTTCTAAAAAAATTTCTGTAGTTTTGTTTATTTCAGCCAGGAGAGGGTCTGTTTTTCTGAACCCTTCAGGCTAGTATTCTCCTTAGATCAAAAAGAGGCATCTTTTAACTACCTCTTACTTTTTTATCTTCTTCTCCTCTATCTCTCTTTTTGTATCCTCAAGCTTATTCATGGCTGCAGCTATAGATATGTATAATAGCAGAACAGTCATCTCCTCAACAGAGGAGCTTATGGAAGCACTTGAACCTTTTATCAAAGATGCTTCCTCTTCTCCTTCTTCTTCTTCTATCAAAGACACCTCCTTTGATCCTTCCTCTGTTTCTCTTTCACATCTCCCTTACTCCTCTGCTCACTCTCACCACTATTCCGTTTATCCTCCAACACCTCCCCAAAATCCCAACTTTGATTACTTTCCACCATCCATGTCAAATCCCGAGATTACCCACCATGGATTTCTGAGCTTAGATCAGCCCATCGGGCTCACCCACCTCGGACCCGTCCAGATCCAGCAGATCCAGGCCCAACTCCAGCTCCGCCACCACCACAACCTCCTCTCCCCGCGACCGCAGCCCATGAAACTCACTGGCACCGCCGCCATCTTACCATCCAAACCGACTAAGCTGTACCGCGGGGTGCGGCAGCGCCACTGGGGCAAGTGGGTCGCCGAAATCCGCCTCCCTAAGAATCGCACTCGCCTCTGGCTCGGCACCTTCGACACAGCAGAAGAGGCGGCCATGGCATACGATAAGGCCGCCTACCGTCTTCGCGGTGAATTCGCACGCCTCAACTTCCCCCATGTGCGTCACGATGTCGCCGGCGGTCAGCTCCACTCTTCCGTCGACGCAAAGCTTGAGGTTTTTTGTAAGAACCTTGGCAACTCGTTGAAAAAGGAAAGTTCACCTCCGGCGCTTGATTCGTCCGCCGGCGGTGTGGAGGATAGCAAATCGGAGATGTCCTCGGAAGGAGAAGTGTCCTCCCCTGTTTCAGAAATGGAGACTTTGGATTTTACGGAAGCTCCATGGGATGAATCTGAGAAATTTATGCTGACAAAGTATCCGTCATGGGAAATCGATTGGGATTCTATACTCTCTTAGTTGTTACTTATGTGTTTTGTTTTGTTCTACGTTTGCTTTTTGTTTTAGTTTATGGATCCTGCAAATGAAATTTTAAACATTAGCAGGGCTCATGTTTTAGTTAGGTCTTCTCACTGGTTTGCTGGTTTTTTCTTGGCCTCACCAGTGAGGGATAGTGTGTTAGTCATCAAATGTGTAGGTCTGTAACTATATTTTTATTAATTTCTCGGTATTCGCTTTAAGATTTGTTTTCTGTGACTTTTGAGGCTGTATGGCTCCTCGGTTCAAAAAATTGTTTTCAGAAGAAAAAATCTCTAACAAAGCCTAAAATAATATTTTGTGAGAGGAGCCTATTGATGTCAAAAGTGTTATGATCAAAATTCAAATGAGTTAAACCGGTTATTTAAAATATTGTTAAAAATTTTGTGATATTTGTTTGATAGATCTAATGATTTTTAAATTTTGTATTTTTATAATTAAAATTAGTCTCGATGAGAGGAATTTATTAAGTTAAATGTCACGCAATTTTGATGACTTTAAGACACTTAAATGACCAAAGAATAGTCTATGATAAAAACTGTCAAGGAGCGTCTTAGGCAATGATGGAATGGAGTCAGAAATTTTATTAAGGGGGACTTAAATTAAAATAGTTGTATTTGCCTTGTCATCTGAAATGTTAAAATACATGAAAATAGTTGCTCATGAACCTGTGATGGTTTTGATCATTTGGATTGCCTTGCCCGATTAAGACGTTATTTTACTAACTAGAAGCACCATCTTTACCATTGGAAAAATATTTGACGAACCTCTTCAAAATGAATAACATGAAAGGTAGCACACACAGATTATAATGCACTTATATCCTAGTTGAGATGGAAGTATTGAAACAATATGCTAATAAATCTAGAATTAAAGCAGAGTTCCATATAACCATCGAAATTCTATAAATAAAAGGTATAGAAGCACATTTTTGATCTTATCTTATTTTTCCAATACTTTAAGCATAATTTGCACTCTAAAATTTTGAAAATATAACACTTAAAAATTATAAATAAATAATCATTTTTTATTATGAGAACTTATTATTGAATAAGAAGTTTGAGGACTTGAATTGTAGACCTTTGCTGAATATTCAATGTGATGATCATCACTAGCAGTTATTGTAACTCAACTGTTATTACCTAACTACCTGATCGCCATTGGTTGGCCCTTATCTCCCATCTTAATGACCGCAAAAATAAGGTAAGGACAGGATCTACTATGTGTGAGGCTAAGAGTTAGCACAATGACTGCAAAAATAGTTATAGTTACACAAATGTAAAAATAAAAAAAATAAAAAAATAAAAAAGATTTTTCACCAGTTATGCAAAATGATTATAAAAATAATTATAGTTAGATAGACTGCAACACAATATTAAAATCAGAAGGGGAGACTCGATAAGTAATGGAATGAGAAACAAATTGGAAGATGGGAATGAGGGAGGAGGGTGGTGTAACCATCCAAAATTTTGAAAATGATTAAAAAGAAAAAAATTGAATTCCTATTTGAATTGCAGCACAATAGAGAGAAAGGGGGGAAGTCAATTTTTAGCAGCCGGATTGTTTTGCCATTTTATAGAAATTGCTCATATCACTGTATGTGATTCTAATCATATCTTTGTTTTTTAAAAAATTGATTTTAACTGTATTATTTTGCCTAGAATTAATTTTATTATATTTTTTCTTGATTTATTAAATTTTTACCACACAACTTTTTGTTTTTTATCGTATTGATTATCCTGTACATTTTGACTGTAACATTTATTAAATTTTACAGAGTAAATCAAAAGTTACTTTATTTTATAATGTTTCTACTGATTGAATAACTAATATTTTTTATTATAATCACGCTGTTAATACAAGCATTATACATGAATGTGGGTATATAAAAAAAATAAAAAAAAATGAATGTGGGTATGTGAATGAGTAATAGTTAGTCGTTATTATTGTTATAGTACTATGATAATAATATGTGTGGAGACAAGCAAAAGCTGGTTTCAGTGATGTTGATCGGAGATTGACTAACCTGTACATGATGGTGAACTAACGGGCTTTCCTTTAAATATTGTGTTTTGATATTATTCTTTACCGATTCACGTGATACTAATTAAGAGTGATAAAGAGTTATTATTATGCAGGAGCCGGAAGGCAAAGAGCGACGTCTTTGTTTACTGAGCTAATAGGATATTGATACATATTACTGCTTTTTGAAAAAACATTGCTTAAAGTAGAACATTTTACTTATCTATTGTGACTACTGAAATGCGTGTCATTAATTCATTATTACTACTACTGTATATTTTACTGCTTTACTGTTATTATTTACTAATTTTTTGTCACTATATATACGAATTTATTATTATTGCATTGCTTTATTATTACTACCACCAATTTTATTAACGACATTGTATTGATACTACTACCAATACAGACATCAACACTGTTCGATACTACTATTGATTCACTATATCGATACTAAGTATGTAATACACTAAGCAAGCAAATAAGATATTGATATAAAATACCTTGATATAATGTATACATCATTATAGGATTTTACTATATTGATATTATTTTGATAGACTTTGCTGATGTTTTGGTTTTGCCACTTTATATGATTTATTTACTAATTGATAGTACTGATACGACAACTACTTTATTGATTTGACATCCGTACAAATTTATTGGTTTCTCTACTATACTGTTTTACAGGCTTCCGAATAATATTGTTTTATTGGTAACAGACTTTACTACTACTACATGTATATTTTACTATTTATGCATCAATTCATGATCATATGATTGCTACTGCTACGAATTTACTGATGACATGTATACTACTTCTTTATCATTCATTGAGTTAGTTGTAGGATTGGATGACCTGCTGGACTTTTTAGCTCATTATATATGATTTAAATGATTTCAGGTCTGGGCAGATGATCAAATATGTGAGATTGTTCATATCAAGATTCTCCAGGTTTACTGTTAGTTGATTTATTTGTCTTTTAGCTATTCTTTGTTTACTTAGGATTGATGATGATATATTGTAATTGTAAGAATTTTTTAGTATTATATATGATTTTGAAATAAAAAAATAGATGTTTTTTGCTTTTTTGATTATTAGTTTTGTTTTAGCTAATATTATATTGATAGAAGAGAAATAGATAGCTTTGGTGTTGATTTTAAAAGAGTAATTCTTTCAAATTTGATCTTGTAACATTAAATGTGGGTACCAAGTTCGAGCTAATACTATATATTTGAACATGAGTGAAATTAGGCTTTACACCTTACAAAGTAGATAGCTCTAATCAATTTTTATGGATGAGGGAAAGCCATATAAGAAGGGAAGTTGTGAATACTTTGGGTTAGACTTGAATATCATCGTCCAACCATAGAGAAAACATAAAAAAAACAGCTTCTATGATCAGCTAATATATTGCAATTGAATAAAAAATAAGGACTAAGGCTTCATTTAGGATAACTTTTGGACACTATTTTTTTGCTACTTTCAAATAATTTTTGTGCAAGAAAGATGCTTTAAAAAACTATCCCAAATAGAGCGTAAATTTATCAATAATTTCATTGTGCAAATTTTACCTGAGGAGATAACCATCACCAAAATCAAATTCACAGATGCCGTATTTGTATTGGAGTCTAAATCCATTCAATGGATTCCTTCAATGTTCTCTATTCCTTGACATTGTAACAACATAAAAATATCATAATCATATTGAATTCATTAAGTAAATATGCTTGTTAAAATAAATTAAACTCTAGTTAATTATTTATGAACCTTAATATGATATAAAAAATAATTAAGAAAATTTGACAATCCTAATGATAGTAGTTCATACTTCAAATTATTTCAACACTTCCACTCTAAATTTTGTCCAAGTCAAATAGTTTGAAGATTTCATCATAAATCAGGCATGAAGAAAAAAAGAAAGAACATGGTAACAACATTATTATTTTAAGTGATCCCATATCCATGGTTTTTTTCTACTAGGTAGGTGATATATCATACCTCTTAGAATAGTTTTTCTATCATTCTTAGAAAGCTGAAGGATGATTGGCAAAGCCATTCAAGTTTCAAACATACACTAACTTGCTAAGAAAGCATCACATCTGATTGTGAAAGAAAATCGATTGATTTAGCTTCATTTCTTTTTATTAAGTGGAGGAAAATGACGAGCACTATAGTTCTACAAAATCATGCCCTGAGATATTTCTCGTCTATTTCCACAACAAGGTTTAAAATTTGAGGTTTCTTAAACCAAAAGACCGGAAATTTTTTTCTTTGATTCTCTCAAAAATAATTCTCATTGAGATTGAACACTAAACTTCAGGAAATGCGTGTCATTAGAAGTTTGAAGATTATTATATCAACAATTTTAAATTAAAAATGATTGTCTATTTAATAAGTTATAAAAACTACAAAAAATAGATAAACATCAATAATATTTTTTTCCCATAAGAGTGTTTCAATTTTATATGAAATTTATTTTCTTTGGATAAATGATGGTCTTGCCCACCCAATATCATTAGATCATTGAAATTACAGAATGTTACAATCAGTGACTCGAAAGGAGGGAACTAAAAACCTATAAAAACTAGATATAAAAGGAGAAGTGCTAAGAATAATGAGTACGTATTAAAAATTGGCTCAAATAAACCCAATTCAAAAACCAAAATAACAAAATATAAAAGGAATCATCCAAGGCAGCAAGAAATGAAGGCAACATTGCAACCGAGAAAGTTGCATGGAAAAACCAGCTACTACTTGGTTGAAACTCATATACACATTAGGTCTCATCATTGCCCCATCAAAAGATAGAAGAAGTATAACTTCTCTCATATGATCATTTTAATTGTTATGTATAGTTCAAAAGGGACCCAGTAATATAACCAAAACATAGTTTTCTAGCCAAGAATGTTAATGAACAAGCACTGATGATAAAAATCAAACATGAGGATAAGAGACAATTATATATAAGACAGAAAAATGGGCTTGGTAAAGAGTTGAATAATCCAGGAGTAAGCATAATATCTACACTAAAAACCAGAAGAATGTCTCCCATTGTTGTTGATAATATAGAGAAGCTTGTTGAATACAAATCCTAAGAATACATTGGGAAGCTTGTTGAGTAACCAAAACATAGTTTTCTCGCCTTAAATTTGCGAGCACATAACAAATATATTGATA